CCCCACAGGAGTGCATGATCGGTTACAGTGACAGCGGCAAGGACGCCGGGCGCATGGCCGCAGCCTGGGCGCTGTTCGAGACTCAGGAGAAGATCGTGCAGGTGGGGGGGCGCGCCCCTGTTATAGCGCCCCGCCGCGAGGCTCCATTTCTTTTCCGCGAATGCTCTCAACAGCTTGACAGGGACGGGCCTTGACAGAGATGTCCTACTATTGTGTGGGCGCGGCCGGCGGCGCGGGGCGCGGCGCACCGCCTTGTGGCGGATTTCTCGCCACCCGCACAACGCGGCCGGCCCCCATGCGCCCCTTTGCAGCAAGCGCAGTCGAACCCCTGCTCCCATGATACAACCTTTGGACCACACACAGACCCTGCAAGCTCCGCCCAACCCCCTCCCGCCATCTCCCCCCCTCACTGTCCAACAAATGCCATCATTTGACCGTGTCGCCCCCAGATCGCCGTGGACTCTGGCGTGCGCATGGTGCTGTTCCACGGCCGCGGCGGCACCGTCGGCCGCGGCGGCGGGCCCACCCACATGGCCATCCGCAGGCGAGCGACGGCGGCAGCCTGGCCGCCGCCCTGCGTGGGGCATTGCGCCGCGCGGCGCCGCGAGACGGCCGCCGCACGCGCACCGGCGCCCCCGGTTCAGCCACGCCGCGTGCCACGCGTGCGACGAGCGCGCCCGCTACCGCTACCCCTTGCCTTCTGATCCCCCTTTCTTCCCCGCCCGTTTTCATCTCCCGCCTCCCCCCACACACACACACACCCCACGCCATACCCCTCACCCCGACACGCGCCAACCACCAATCTCCCACCTCCAACCGCCAACTGCCAACCGCCGACCGCAGCCAGCCGCCGGGCACCATCAACGGGCGGCTGCGCGTGACCATCCAGGGGGAGACCATCGAGCAGCAGTTTGGAGAGAAGGAGGTGCGGTTTTTTTGGGGGGGGCGATGCTCGTGCTAACGTGTGGTTTGGTGTGTGAAGCAGCCCCCTTTTCCCCCCGCCACCCTGGCCGCTTGAAAGGGGACACAGCTGTAGGCTGGCCGCGCCCACACCCCCCCCCCCTGCTCTGCCTCATGGGGTCTGGCACGCCGCCCCTGCCTAGCACGCCTCCTCGAGTTTCCGACCTGTGATGAAGGCCTCGCCTAGGAAGCACGACTGCAGATAGCAACCTGCTTGAAAACAGATTGCTTGACAGGAACGCTGTGCAGCATCGCACGTGTAAACATTAGACCGCCTCTCCCTCCACACAACACACACACACACACCCCTCTGAACCACCCCACGCCATCATCACCCCTTCATCATCATCCCACCACCTCACCCCGTCACCTCGTCACCCCTGCCAGGTGGCGTTCCGCACCCTGGACCTGTACACCAGCGCGGTGCTGGAGGCCGGCCTGGACCCCCCCAGCGCCCCCAAGCGGGAGTGGCGCGAGATGATGGACTCACTCGGACGCGTCAGCTGCGAGGTGTGTAGTTTTTTTTGGGGGGGGGGGGATGGGGGGGCGCGGTGGCTGGTGTGCGTCTGCGTGGGCGTGCCTGAGAGCACGACGGTGCGACCAGACCGGATGACCATCAAACGGGCTCCTGGGGGTCGGGCTGGGAAGCGTCGCCTCTTTGATGGCGCGTGCGCGCCCTTGGAAATTGCCCTTCCACCTGCCCGCCCCACGACCGTCTCGCTGCAACCCCCGCCCGCCCCGCCGCCGGCCCCTCTTTTGACGCGCCCTCGCCGCCGCAGCTGTACCGCTCCTACGTGTTCCAGCGCCCGGAGTTCGTGGAGTACTTCAACCTCGCCACGCCCGCACAGGTGTGTTTTGGGAGGGGGATTGCGGGGGCGATGACCTCATGATGATGTCACGATGATGCGCTCGAATCCGGCCGGTCGGGGTGGACGGGGCGCGCCGCCCCCCCCCCCCCCCCC